ATTAATGCATAGCTCCTTCCAGTTTTGAGAATTTAGGCTCTGAGACTATAGGACTGAATAGCTCCTCCCATCTGAACCCATTCTTCTCGACCTCCCCTTTCATGTCACTGTTGCTCCTGACGTTACTGAGATGAATCTAGCTACATGGATGGCAGTGAGTGACTGTAATTCCCATAGGTCACAAGGATGACTCTCACAAGGACAGGCACGTTGTGCAAAGACTGTATCATTGTGATGAGAGCAAAATCTCCTGGCCATTCCTGTTCTGGGCCAACCCTCTGGATCGCCTGGGCCTGGACAGCAGTGGCCTATAAGCAGAGGAATAAACAGAATTTAATCACATTTTGCCCCATAACTTACTGAGTGATCGGAAGGAAATCCCTTCTTTAGGGCCTTGTCCCCACCTGTGAAATTGGAGGTGCTTTTGCTGCTCTCCGATATTCTGGTGTCTCTTTCCATGAGTGGCCACAACCCCTAGGATTGGGCAAAGGAAAAGAGTGAAAGCTCAAGGTTTGTGTGGCATCTGTAACGGTATTATTTATCCCTCTGGGGACCCAGACAAAGCATAGGAGAATGGGCTCCATCCAAATGTGGCCTCGAACTTTGGGAGGAGCAGGGAGCCCCAGCCTCTGGAAACTGTGTGCTATGTCCTGTGTCTGGCCCTCCTGACCTCTGCCGTTCGCCAGACCCTCTGAAGCTGGAGCCCGACGGGCGTGTGTGGGGCTGAGGCCGGTGCTGCAGTGGGAAGAGCACCAGAGAGCACAGGCGGAGGCACGAGGTCAAGGCCCCGTGCACTTTGTGCAGCCAGTATTTCAACATGCCTGCGTCGCTTTCCCTAAATTAGGACATGTCACTCCCCTGTAGACAGCAGCTGGACACTAGCTTTTCTGAGGTGTCAGCTAGGCTGGCTTTTGTGGCCTAAGATTCCCTGTCTGCTTAGCCCCAAAATAGATAGGGTAAACCACTAACCAGCCCAGGAGGGCCAGCCTCAGGTCGAGGTAGAGGCTGGCCTGGGTACCTGAGGCTGGGCCGGGTGGGCAGGCTCGCATGAGCAGGTACCCTGGTATTTCTAGCAAGCCCCACTATGTGCATTGACACAGTAAAAGACCCCAGAGTCAGGGAGCTGACCACTTTGAAGTCTTTAAAACATCTCCGCTATGAGGAAAGACGCAGGTATCAGGCAAAGACGTAACCACCATCATTGCTCATAGTCTTCCTTAGGGTTGGCAGATGGGAATGTTCGTTTTTGTTTTGGAATTGGACCATACCTGCAACCAAGGGGCTTGGAGCACTTTGGTCATAAAACTACAACAGCGCCAGGCATGGTGGCACATGTAATCCCAGCAGCTCAGGAGGCTGAGGCAGGAGGATCACAAGACCATAGGAGAATGGACTCCATCCAAATGTGGTCTCAAACTTTGGGAGAAGCAGGGAACCCCAAGCAACTCAGTGAGACACTGTCTCTAAATAAAATACAAAATAGGCTGGGTATGTGGCTCAGTGGTCGAGTGCCCCTAATTAAATCCCCAGAACCCAAAAGAAAACAAAAACCCTACAACAGCGCCAGGTGTGGTGGCACACACCTTTACAGCAGCTTGGGAGACTGAGGCAGGAAGATTGTGAGTTCATACCAGCCTCAGCAACTTAGCAAGGCTCTAAGCAACTCGGTGAGGCCCTGTCTCTAAATAAAATAGGAAAAAGGGCTGGGGATGTGGCTCAGCATTTAAGTGCTCCTGGGTTCAATTCCTGGTACCAAAAAATGCCGCAGTCTGGCTGGGCACAATTCAGGAGCCACTTGTCAAAAGAAACGAACTTTTATTTTTAGAACACACACACACCACACCACACAGCTCCTCAGGAAAAACCCTCAGAGCCCAACTGCCACCACCGGCTTCCCACAAGCCTCTCCACCTCCCCCACTCCTCCTGCTCTTGAGGCCGATTGGCTGGGTTGCATGGGCAGAGCCAAAAAAAAGTCCCCCAATGAGCAGCTCCCGTGGTCTGAAAGGGCGAGGAAACAGCCCAATGAGAATCACCGAAGAGAAGCCAATCAGCTGGCAGCTGGAAGTTTGCTGGGGCCCCTTCGGCTGTGGCTCTCAACAACAACAACAACAAAAAATGCAGCAACAATCATTGAGAGAAGCATTTAAAGGAACATCAGACACAGGGAAGGTAGATAACTTAGGGCCCTGATTCAAGGAAAAGGTAAATTTAAAACAAATTTGCCATTTCTTAATAGTGTACATAATTCTGTTTTCTAAAAAGAGAAAATTTAGTGATTCATCTACAGAACTGGCCATTTAGTGTGGATCTCCTTGTATCAAGGATACAAGGAGCACAGACAGTGTCCTAGATGTCACGTGCGGGGAGTGAACAGGACCGTGAGGAACTTCCTAGTCAAGCTTTTGGAGCTTGTTCTGTTCTGGGCCACTCTTCCCCTAATCATGAAAAAACCACACGGAGCAAAGGGAATGTTTTAGTGTGTATCTTACAGAACCTCCAAAATTGGAACCTGAACAATAAATATCAGCCATTAATAATAACCTGTTCCTCTTTATTTTTTTTTAAATAACAGCTTTATTGAGAATTCACATACCCCCAAAAGTTTACCCTTTCCAAGGTCAGTGGGCTGTAGTATATTCACAGTGCGTATCATCGCCGTATCTAATTCCTGAATATTTTCACCATTACCACCCCCCAGGCCCCATAAACTTTAGTAGTCACCCCCATTTCCTCCCTCCCAGTACCAGGCAACCACTAGTTTATCTTCTGTCTCTAAAGACTTGCCTTTTCTGGACAATTCTCATAAGTAGAGTCACTCAACATGTGGCCTTTTGTGTCTAGCTTCTTTCACGTAGCACAGTGTTTGAAGACCTATTCGTGTCGTGATACGTATGGGAACCTCGTTCCTTTTTATGGCTGAATAATCATTGTAAAGATATATCACATTCTGTCTGTTTGCTGGGAGATGGACAGCTGGGTTGCTTCTACTTTTTGGCTATCAGGAATGATGCTGCTATTAAGGCTAGTGTATAGGTTTTGTGCGGGCAGCTGTCCTCAGTGCATTTGGGCCTATACCCAGGGGTGGCATTCTGGACCACCTGCAACATTGTGTTAAACTTTTTGAGAATTGCCAGATGTCTTCCACAGCAGCCCATCATTTCACATTTCCAACGTGAATGAATGACCGTCCCAGTTCCTCCGTATCCTCGCTAGCACTTGTTATTCTTCATCTACCTGCTGGTAGCCATCCTAATGGGTGTCAAGTTGGATCTCATGGTTTGTCTTCTGTGTTTTTTAAAACAGAACATTTTGACCCAACCCAAGCAAGGCAGGGCCCAGAGCCACTCACCTTTGGGGAGCAAACTATGGCTTTGATAATAGCCATGCGGGATGACCGTAGCTGGTGAGACAGAGGAGTTGGATTTGACTTTGGGGGATGGTTCCAGGATGGACATGACACAGGACAGGTCCTTTCTCTAGGGAAGTTCCTGTGACCTTTTCAGATCTAGTGATTGACACCATCACTTTTGCTTGAAATTTCATAGTTGATCCCTAGAATAAAGGTCTGGTTCCAAATCATCCGCTTTGGTGTGCAAGGGCCACAGCCACTGATCCTGTTTTAGGCTGCATCATCCCATGGCCCTGCTCTTCCTTGGCCTCTCTCCTCCCGAGTTCCTGGAGCTGGCCTTGTCGTGTTTCTCCTTGTCGTTGCCTGCTTGGGCCTGAGACTCTGCCATTCTCCACTGAAAGTCGTGTTTATTACGGCCTCAACCCCAACAGTACACTATGCTCAAAGCACAGATGGCTGCACTGGTGGCACATTAGGGAATGGGCAGGAAGTCCCATTCAGCCTCACTCTCTGGAACCAGCCTCCCTCCCGCCTCCCTTTCTGTTGTCCTTAATGACAGTTTCTTTGATCTATGCTTCTCTCCACAGGCGGAAATTAGAATCTGGAGCAGTTCCTACTCTCTCCCCTGGTCTTATCGCACTTTGGTGCAGTTCCAATAAAGACAGGTCCCATGATCAAGGAGAGGAGGGATTCCCCATGTGTACCCCCAGCCTTCTGAGAGTCAGTTGGAGGTGCACGCCTAGAGGCCACTTCAACTTTTATGCTCCAGAGCAGAGACTTGCCCGTGGGATCCCATCCCCAGGCTTTGTTTGCCCTTGGGATCCCACAACATAGTTGCACTGGGTGTGGCCCTGAGGGAGGGTCAGAAGGCAAGGGTGGGCAGTGAAGGGTGGCAAGGTCCTGGTGACTGAAGACAGACACTGCAGAGCCAGAAGCAGCAACGACAGGAAGTAGGAGCACCCTCTGGCAGCAGGCAGCGCTGGTGGGAGGTGCTTAGAGAACACCTGCTGATGGCAGTCTAGCAGGACCCTGGGTGGCCACAAGACCCTGGGTGGCCATGCGGATGGTTTTGTTACAGGTGAGCCATGGAAGGCGAGTGCGAGTGCGTGAGAATCACAGTGTGACGGGGTTCAGAGGGACAGGGAGTAGGAGGGTCCTGTTCAAGTGCTGGTCCTGGGTTTCAGCTGCATAAGCAATTTAGCTTTTTAACCCAAAGGTTGGGGCCAGAAAGCAGCAGGATCCACATCATCATTGCCTTTATTTGAAGAGTGGGAACTCCAGAGCCACACAGCCACCGCCTCCACCTGCACCAGAAAGTGGGTAGCCTTCCTACCACCACCTCAGCCCCCCTCAGCTCACTTCTGAGCTCAAGGCTCAACTGAATGAATGCATCTGGTTGTTGGAACCTACTTCACCTTTCAGACCCTAACAGCCAGGAATCCTAGGAAAATGCCCCTGCTCTCTCTTCCCACCTCGGCATTCCGGAAGATGAAACTGAGACAAATGTCTGGTGAGCCAACCTCCTGTGATCATCAGCACAGGCCGTGACATAAATGGGGACTACAACCTTGCTTGCCCAAGCCTGTCTCCTGAGATATTTGTTCTAAGTACACTTACATCCCGAGTCCCCATCCACACCACCAAAGGAGGGCCTTCAAATCTGTTTTTTTTTTTTTTAACCACAAATCCTCTTGTGATTCATGGGATCATGCAAGTTTGAGAACTAGGACCAGAAGTCTGTCTACATCCTTACTAGTAAGCAGCAGCAGAGACGACATTTCCTGAAAACTTGTTAGAAGTTTAGCATTTCGGGCCTCACCCCAGACTCAACTGAATGAGGATCTGCATTTTAACAAGTCCTCCATGTGATTCATATGCACACTAAAGTTTAAGAAACTCAAGTGTACAAACTTTGTTCTTTTCCTTCCTCTGGATATCACATGTAAAGAATTGAGTCACTCAGTCTTCTTGATTGATGGCACGTAATTATTAATGCATGCAAGTAACCCCAGTATCCATTCATCCCTTATCCTGTGGGTCACACCAATGCGGTTCAAGTATGTCTTTAAATATTCCAGCACCCAGCATGCACTACACCTTCCAATCATGATAATGATGAGATATTCCCATGTTCTAGTCCAGAAAATGAGGGTTTGGAAAGGTCTGATAATTGCTCAAGGCCAGACAGGGGTCTCAGAATCAGGCAGGTGAGGGTGTGACTCCCAGAACCCCCTTTGACCATGTGCAGCTCCCTCATCTGCAGAATCTGCATCATTGCCCCTTCCTGCAGAATTGGTGCAGGGTCCCACCAATTGTGTCTTATTAGCAGGTGTCAGGGTGCTCGGTGGGTGCCAGTGCTGCTGCGGTTATACGGATAGGCGAAATGGGGCTCAAGAGAAGACAGCTGCGCCCCCCCACACACACGCCCCGTGCAGGAAGTGGGTGTTTATCAGGCGCCCAGAGTGTTCTGGTCCATCATCTCATGTAATGCTCTCCACAAACTCAAGGAACACGTGGTCAGCATCCTCGGAGGCACACTCCCGAGGGCTGGCACAACTGGTTGGCCTGATTCTAAAGCCAGTGCTCTTCTGCCGTGCCCAGACCTCACAACCAGGAAAGGACAGGGCCCAGGGAAAACCCATCCCAGAAACGGGAAAGCCCAGCAGGACCTGTGTGAGCGTAGTCCCCAGGAGAATCCAGACTCTGAAATTGGTCCTGTCTGCAAAGTGTTCCTCATGTTCCCAAGGGGCCAGAGCTACAGGGTTAGAAAGGAGCACCTTAAACCACCCGGCACGACCACAGAGCCACAGGGGAGGCAATGGGTCCCCAAAGCCACTGAGAGGGCGAGCTCCTGAGTGCCTCCCTGGGCCCCAGGGCTGAGCCTGGGCTCTGTGCAGGCCCCGTCACCTGGCCCCAAGGAGTACTCTCCTTGGCCTTCCAAGTGTAGTGACATGGAAGCTACTTTTGTTCATGAACAGGTGATAGGACAAGTGCAGAGCAGATGAGGGACAGTGACTTTCTCAAGGCCACAAAGACCATAGAAATCCTGGCTTCGAATCCAAGAATTCCCCAGGAAACACTGAGTAACAAAAATAGAAGGGTTCTCTACCCGGCCGCCCCCTCTCCCTCGTTGGGCTGTTAGGAAGCGCTGTCCTGCTTCAGCACCCTGGTCAGCACCCACCACCCATGAAGCCTGGGAGGCCTTTGGACCAAGTTAAGCCAAACTGTTCATGCCCCCCAATAAGATGGCCCACTTCTGGTGACAGGCAGACATCCCCCAGAGGAGGAGACTGCACCTACTAGTCCTGCCTCCAGCTCAGAGACCCCCCCTTTCCCTCCCCTTTGGATACACCTGCAGGAGCAGTTTCATCCTTCCCCTTCTTGTTCCCATGACAATGGTCAGGGTGGGCAGGAGGCTTGAGCCATGGTGACTCCAAGCTCTGTCCCCTGTGGCTCCATCTATAGAGTGGAGGTGAGGGTGGGCTTGACTCCCAGAGCCTGCCCATGTGAGACTCCATGGCTCTGAGTGGGCCGCGGGCCTGCCCAGCAGTACCCCGCACAGGGCTTCCTAATTAGGATAGACCACAGGCCTTGAGTGGCAGCCACAGCCCAGATCTGCCACAAACCTGCTCCGACTGGCCTGTGTTATTAAGATGCGCGATGGCATATTAGTCGATTCTGAGTTGTGACTGATGTTCATCAGGGGTGTGACCTTTGACAAGTCACAACCCACCTGTGCCAAAGCTTCCTCATCTGTAATCTGGAGGTGATGTCGTGAAGTGTAGATGAGATGAAAGATGTGCAGACAAAGAAGAGGGCCTGGCACACAAAGAGCACTGTGTGTTGTTTAAGAAGTGAATTGTTTAATGTGTGAAGTTTCTGTCCAGGGAACAAACACGCAGTGTATCCTTTCCATCCAACCGAGTGCAGTCAAATCCCCCTTCCATCTTGACACCTAGGGCTCAACCAATAGCTAACTGGTCCCTTTAATTTAAAATACAGTTCAGGCAAACTTTCCGACTCATCTGGTTCCAAGAGGTCCCCTCTGACCTCTTCTGGATCCTAGCTCCTCCCGGGTGGCAGGTGGGGATGAAGAGGGACAGAAGCCACGTGTCTTTTCATTCCTACTAGTTTTTTGGACTTGGGGAGAGGAAGTTCTGTTTTGCTTCTGGGTCTCCAGGGGGCTGACTGCGTACTGGGCAAGAGCCTCCCCCTGGATCCTCAGAGAGGCCTGGAGGTCTCCGTCCAGTTGGCCAGAGACTCACAGCCCCACAGCTGGGTACAGTCACCTGTGCACACCACAGCTTCCAGCCTCCTGTCACCTACCTGTGTCAATACTTGGGTCCCCAGAACAACAGAGCCGTCCACTTCCCTTCCAGGGCCTCTGAGCTCCAGGAGGGAGTGCAGGACCACCTTCCCCACCGACCACACCAGCCTGCCTGCAAGCCAGCCAGAGCCCCTCCCCCGGCCTCCCACCCCAGGGATCCCCCAGGTCAGAACAGACTTTGTTTCCAGATTTGCAAACACCCGGGCTGCAGAAGAAGCAGCTGGAGCCCTCTGGGCGTTCTCTCCTTGTGTTTCCATCTGTTGCTGAACCCGGCACAAAGTAGCTGCTCAAATCTTTGTCAAAAGAAAGAAGGAGGGATGCTTGGATGGGTGACCCTCAAGTGGCTGTGGGGAGGTAGAGGCCAGCCCCCACTTGAGGGTACCCCATCTCTGGTGAGTGATTTAGTCAGCCCTGGGGGAGGGGAGGGGGATGCAGGCCTGGCCCCAGCAGGTGGCAGCTCATTGGCCCAGCTTGGCCTCAGCCACAATTCTCAGGCTCTGGGATAATCCCTTTCAGCGACCTTGTACCCACACAAAGTCCAGCTGTCCAGCTGCTCCGGAAAAACCAGGCGCTCTGACAACCGCTGGGCCACAGCCAGGCCAGCGCTGGAGCGGCCCCTCTAATCCTGCCACCGAGCCCACAGCCGCCTACTGTGTTCCTTAATTCACCTGCTGAGCCCTGAAACCATTTGCACTTGGGCCTCAGCCTTAATCTCTGGTGGGGGAGGGTGGGGACTCTGGGAGAGTTCCATGACAGACCCATGAGTCAGCAGTAGTGACAGCTCACCTCTGGGTGCCTAAACCCGCGGGTGGCTTCATGAAAGATGAGGACACAGGAATCGAAAAGAGGAGGAGGAGGTGAGAGATTGAAAGAGGGGAAGAAAGAAAAGGTGGGGAGGGAGAGAGATGGGTGTCGCTGAAGGCTGCTGGCCTGAGTCAGTGCTGGCTCAGACACGGTGCCCGGTGCCACCGGGAAGAGGTTGGCATGGCAGCCGCCTTCTTCCCTGGGGCTCCTGCTCCCCGGGGCCAGCACTCAGCAGGAAGGCTGGCTGCTGAGAGTCCCTGCACTCACTCCCCTTCACCCAGGCCCAGGAGATCTGCGCTGCTGCCTCCCCCTGGTGGCCCAGAGGCCACGAGGGCACAGGCTTCTGTCTTCTAGCCCCAGTGGGAGCCCTAAGAGGAGGGCTGGGGGTGCTGGAGTCCACAATGCCAGGGTCACCCTATATAGTGCAGGTGACAGTTGAAGATTCTTCCTGCCACACACATCTGCGACTATCCTGGGGCAGACAGAGACCCCTTCCCTGTGCCTTGCATGTTCCTTGCGTCATGGTAACCCTGTGTGTGACCTGAGCACTGTGGTGCCCCCTTCTGCTTCTGCTGCTGCTGAAACTCAGCACCCACGATGCCCTTCCTCGGGCCTCGTGTCACACCTGCACAGAGCCTGTCCCTTCTTCAGTGCGCACCTGGCTGTCGAGGGCACTGCCTGTGCCGTTCCCCTCGGCCTGGATACCTGTGCTTCTCTCACTGTCACCTCATCAGTAGCCCCAGCTCCATCCTCTGCACACCCTCCCACAGCCCCTGGGCACCCTCCGTCACAACAGCAATCACCAAGTAGCCAAGGGACAGGATCATGTGTGCCCACCATGCCCAGGCCAGAGGAGAAGGCAGATGAGGTGTGGACGGACGGACCAACATGCACGGGTAACTTTGCCAAGCAGTTAGAAGCGCCAAGTCCTGTGCTGAGTGCTGTCCAGGCAACCTCCTCCCTCGCTACTTGCAGAAGCCTTATGGGGAAGATGCTGTCGCTGTCGCTGTCGTGAGCCCTGCTGTTTTACAATAAGGAAACAGGCAACGAGGTGATAACAACCACTGAGCACCCAGCAGTCCGCCTCTGGAGGCAGTACCCCTGCACTCTCCCTGATGGGCCCACCGCAGGGGCCCCGCCTCCCATGGCTCTGAGACTTGCATGGGGTGGAAGCTGGGCAGCACTTGCCCTCTGGGGGAAAGAAGGTGGGAATTCCACTCTCCTCTGCACCATTCAGATGTCCTGGTCCTCGCATCTGCTCAGCCCAGTCCAGGAGGAGAATGATGTGGGCATTTGGGGCAAAGACAGGAAGACACAGCAAGACCTGCTAGGTTCTGGCCACCGGGGCCTTGACCTTTGAAAGGAAGGGTTGGGGCAACCTCTTAACTAAATTCAACCCCACTCTATTATGACCTATCCCTGAAGATACCCCAACACCTGACCAGTAAAGGCTAACTCAGCTGCACTCACAGGGAGCGCCCTACCCTGCAACTCCACAAGATCACCTTTCCGCCTTGGTCAGGGTACCCACACCCCACCTTCCTCCACAGAACCCCACCTGGGGGCTCCTTCCTGCCCCTGGACACAGGGCACCATGCTGTCAACTTTGGCAAGGCCCCTGCCTGTGTTTCTTGGCCCCCAGCCCCTGGTGAAGAAGAGCAAGAAGACTTTGTTTTCCTCTGGAAAAGCAGAGAGGTGGCTCTGTTTACCCACAGACCCATTGGCAAGGGGTGACCAGAGGACCTGGCTGGCCTGGTTCCCAGGATCACAGTCACCTCTCACAGTGCCAGGGTGGAAGTGCTCCTGGACACCTCTCCTACACCCCGAGTTAGGGGAGCAGGAAGGACACCTGAGAGCAGCCTGGCAGGGGAGGGGACTCGTGGCTGCTGCTGAGAGGCCAGCCGCACAGCCTGTGGCTGGTGGGGAAAGAGAACTGTCTTCAGTCATCCAGAGGACGCACTGGCTTGGAGCCGCTCTCCCAGAGCGCGCCTGTGTCCTTGGCTTCTGAGCAAGGTCAGGCAAGCTGTGTGTGTGTCTGCCGCCCTTGCACAGGCGTGCACATATGCTCACGTGCTCACGTGTGTGCAGATGTGTCCATGCAGAGAGGAGGACATTTTAAAGAGAATCCTAATAATACTGTTCCCCAAGAAAGAGAGCAACAGTGACGCGGCTCTGCAGCCGGCCTCTTCAGCTGGGAGACCCGCAGGAGCCTGAGGTGGGTGGGCAGAGGTGATGGCAGACATCGGGTTTTCATTCATCAGTGAGCCCTTCTGACTCCTTGGTGCACACGGCTGTACAAGACCCAGAGAGGGGGAGGCAGGTGGGTTCCTAGGGTCCAGTGACAAAATAAGGCCCTTGCACACTCTGGGCAGGCCGCCTTCTGCATCCCTGCATCTCAGCCCTGACCAGGGCTCCAGGAGGCCCGGCAGGGACTGCGGGGCTCTGGGTCCCATGAAGGGACTGCATTCCTTGGCAGGCGCAGGGAACTTTGGTTACATTCATCTGTCCCTTCATCAGTGAACACCTACTATGTGCACCAACCAGTTGGTCACAGTGTGAGCGCAGCATGAACTGGTTAGACCAAAATGCCAGGCTCGTGAAGGCTGCGATCCTGCAGGGGAGGAGTGGGGAGTACAGACGGTCAATAAGAGCAGGACACAGCCTGCTGGGTAGCGATCAATGCTTTGCTCTGGACAAAAATGCAGCAGGCAGGAGAAGAGGGAGTGAGGGCGGGGTATGGGGTGTGGTTTTAAACAGAGGGGCCAGTAAAGGTGTCCATGAGAGGGAGGTGAGGGAGTGGGGCTTGCAGTATTGAGGGGAGGAGCCTTCTAAGCCAAGAAGCAGCTAGTGCAAAGGCCCTGGGTGGGGGTGGCAGGCAAGGTTGAGGAACCACAAGGTGATGGTGGCTAGAGGGAAATGAGGTTGGAGAGGCAAAGGGGTCACACCGTGTAGGGCTTTGAGGCCACTGTAGGGAACCGACGCAGGTCTGGGGGACCTGCAGCTTATGGACTTTATGGGACCATCCTTAAGGGAAAATATTCATCAGAATTGCAAATACAAAAGGCAAAATTGGGGCCTTGGGAAGGGCTATGCAGGAGAGGGACACAGGCTTTGCCTCTGGCTGTGGGGAGAACTGGGGCCTTTGCCTGGTACGAAGGGGACACGGAGGGGAGCTTTGAGTGAAGTGACCAGACCTTTTAACAGGCTTCCTCTAGCTGCCAACGGGCTGATGAGCTGGGGGGATGGAATGGTCAGGAAAGAAAGCCAGACACCAGTGACCAACACGACGGATGAACACGGATCATTCTGAAAGTGGATCTGACAATATCTGCTGGTGGGAGAAGGGTTGACCTCCCCCACTACCCCCATGATTCAGGCCTAAATGAGTTAGCGCCAGTCCAGGTGGGAAGCAGAGTGTCCTTGTCAGTGGCCATCCTGATCTGCACCACCCCCACCAGGCAGAGTTTTCATGAAACCAACTCTGCAAAGAAACCCAAACTCAGAAAGGTAGAGTCACTTACCTAAAGTCACACAGCTGGTAAATGGCACCGCCTGTATGCAACCCAGGTCTTACCAACTCCAAACCTGCCATCTGTTCAGATACCCCCAGGACAAGCAAGGTTGGGGGACCCTAGTAGCTTGTCAGATGTGAAAAGTTCCTGGAGGTGAGGAGGGCCTCTTCCAGCAACCACAGGGGCCTCTGGGATATTACCACACCTGGCCCCTAGGAACTTACAAAGAAAATCCTCAGCACTCCACCCCCACCCCCTGACTCCTTCCTAAACCTGTTTCTGACCCACTGGTGAGGAGATCTCAGCTGCAATCTTGAGGAAATGTTTCTGGCATCTCTCGAATTTTCTTAATTTGCTGACAAGGTAATGATTGCTTTGCTCCATTACAAACGTTTTCTAAAGGAGTTTCCCCATTAGAATGCAAAGCAGGCTTCTCTGGCTTGGAGAAAACCTGAGATTTAATCTTCTACTACATTTAGCCCCTAAATACAATTCATTGCATTTAAACTGATAGGAATTGATGGTCCCAGATGCGTCTTCTCAACAGGTTTAGTAACCAAATGAGTCCCCCCACTGTCTTAGTAATCCACAGGGCTTGGGTTGATATTTTTATTATGATCATTATGGATTTGAAAAGCCTCAGCCCATCATTTGGGGCGTCCAATCCTACTGTCGTTCACCTTGCCTGGCTCACCACCTTCTGTGGCTTCTCCTTGCTTGGAACTTGGGAGAGATGACACATCCGTGGGAGCCCAGGGGATGGTGACCCTTTCACCATCTTGGCCTTTGTTCTTTGTGACACCCCAACAGAACCTGGGAAGCCAAGCTAAAGGATCTTTGTCCTCCCCAGCCCTCCCCAGCCCCCTTCTCCTGACAGAAACTGCCAACAGGAGCAGATATTTGATCTGTCTCAGAAGCTGTGATCTCATGCTGCCCAGATGTTCCACTCACTGGACTAAAGGCTCCTGTTACGGGTAATCAGGGGCCCTGGATCCCCTAGAGACCCCAGGCCTACCCCATCCTCCCACCCCCCAGACAATGAGAATTCCCAGCCCACATGGCCAACTGACAGGGAGTAAGTGGGACCCACTCAGCCGCAGGGGGCTGACGGAAATGACCCCTTAGAGTCCTCATACCAGGGCCTAAGAAGGCAGGTACGCTCAAAGCCCTCTAGAGCCATTTGGGCAAAACGATGCCTCCCCCCAAATTCTCAAATGCCTGTATCTCCTTGTTCCTGTCTCATCAAGAGTGTAGAAAGTATGGAAGGAGCTCGGAAACATTCCGCAAGCCAAAGAGAACAAATGTTCACCAATGGGACTGAGCGTGCCCGCTCTCCCCCCAGATCAACGGTGGCTACACTTGACTAGTGAGAGGGTAAGTGGGAGGTGACAAACTCAGTGTTTAAAACAAACAAAAAAAAGTTCTTTCTGCAATTAGCATGAGGTCAGACCCAAGAGACAATGGTATTAAGGAGGGTTGGTGAATAAGGGCACATCAGATACCACAAAGTCGTCACACTTTCTTTTCTGAAAGATTCTCTGTATCCCCAAGAATGGGTAGAAACAGCGCTTCTAACTTTGCAAAATGTGCTACCACAGAAAATTAGTCACTACAGGAAATTAGACCCCCAGACCAAAAGCAGGTTTGTGGCACACGGTGGGGTTGGACCCACACTGACTAAGGCGCTCTTCAGCAGGACAGTGAGAACTGCTGGCCTCCTGACAGTGGCCGTCACAGAGGAGAGGCCAGAAAATGGCATGGAGAAGGATCAGTGCCTGGCAGACACCCTCCTCCTGCAAAGGGTGCCCAGAGGCAGAGACTGGGTTCCCATCTCCAGGGCAGAAATGGCCGGAGAGATCATCCAGTCCAACCCCTCACTTTACAGACAGAGCCGCTAAAGCCTGGAGAGGACCAGGTCACGGTTCAGTCAGTTGGGATTCAACAGGGGGGTCACCCAAATGCTGGCTTCTCCCCTCACCATGAAACCACCTCCCACCTTAGATGGTGGGAGCTCCAAGGAGCCCCCTCCAAGATCACCCAACATCTTCAGCTAGCCCATGAGGACAGTGGAGGTCCCAGAATTCCCCACAGCATAAGAACAGGACGAGCCACCTTTCACATGGCTCCCCACCCTTGGACATGCCAAGAAACCTCATCTTCCAAGAGCAGGGCTTTCCAAACTTTGTATTCTTAGCAACAGAACCGTAAGCAAGACCTTGAACTGCAGAACCTGCCTGAGCGGGCTGCCCTGGGCTTTGCCTCCGCACCCAAGACCCCCAGCCCCCTACAGCTGGGCCCTTTATGGGGAGTTTGAAGCCCCAGGCCTCTGGGAGCCTTGGAGCCCGGAGCTAAGGCAGCCGGAAAGCGGGGGCTCTTCCTTAAGACCCCTGGAGGGCGTGGCTGGGCTCTGACACCTGGACCACCTCGTTCTCCACCAGGGCCTGGCCCCCGTCGCCATTGAGCTGTCTCATGCGCAGGTTGATGGAGCCGTAAGTCTTCCGGGAGCCCCTGCCCGCGACCAGGGCGCGCCGGCGGTACAGCTCTCCCTTGCACAGGGAGACCATGAGCAGCGCGGAGAGCAGCATGCCGCCCACCGTGAGCAGCCCCAGGCCCGCGATGATGCACTTGTCCAGGTGGGAGCCCAGGCGGGCGTAGTACATCTCCAGCCGCTCCATCTCCCTCGCCGTCACCGTGTCCGGGTTGACGCGGGCCTCGCGGGGGATGGCGTAGGCTGTCACCACTAGGAGGATCCCAGTCACCAGGAAAACCAGGGCGGAAACGAAGCCATAATCCACTGGGCGGCTCACGGGCTCCAGGCCCGGCCCCTCCTCTGAACGCAGGGACAGGTCGTCCCGCTGGGACCGGGGCAGTGAGGGGACGCCCCCCAGAGGACTGGGGGAGCTGTCCGGTCTGGCATCCCTGGGGCTTTGGAAACGGGTCTCATGCTCCTCCAAGGAGAAGCCGGCATTGTCCACGCCTGCCCTGGATGGGGCCGCGGGGCCCAGGGGAGCTGGTCTCCTTGGGACCTGGGGACCATTGCTCAGTGTCTTCAGTTCCAGACCAGGGGGAGATGCCATTGGGAAGGAGGGCCCCAGCTCATCCCTTGGCCCCTTGGCAGCTAGAAGAGAAAAGAGAAAGTCAGCTGAATTTGACCAATCTCTACCAAGTCCCTGCCTGTGCCACCGTTGACCTCTGGGCACAGCCCCCCTCCCCCACTGGGGGAGCTCACCACACCAAAGAGGTTGGGAGAATGGGACAGTGACAGAGCAGTGACAGAGCAGTGTGATCCACGCTAGGGTTCCACTCATCACTGGCTGGTGGGAAATTCACTTAGGCGCTCTGGGCCTCAGTTTCCCCACCTATAAAATGACAACATTACCACTTCCTCCTACTTCACAGGGCTTAAACAAGGATTGAGACAACCCATATAAAGCACTCAGTAGAGTAAGTGCGTGCCCAGTAAGCATTAGTGATGAGCCATTACCATGATGGAGAAATTCAGACTGAGTGGCTATCAGGTTCAAATCCCAGCTTCACCACTTGAGCTTAGACATGTGATGCAAGCTCCTCTGCAGACTCACTGTTCTCACTTGTAAAATGGGAATAAACAAATGCTTCCCCCCAATGGTGGTTGTGAGGCTTTCATCAAATAATGCACACAAGGGCTGGGGCTGGGGCTCAGCGGCAGAGCGCTTGCCTGGTACATGTGAGGCACTGGGTTCGATCCTCAGCACCATATGAAAATAAATAAATAAAATAAAGACCATGTGTAACTAAAAAAAATGTTTTAAAAATAATGCACACAAGGCCTTGGCCACTTGAAGAAGTGGGCGCTGTTGTTTGTTAGGAAGAGGATGGGAGTGGGGGGCGAGGGTCATGGTGGAGACCAAGAAGAGAAAAGAGGGGATGCTTCCAGGAGTTGGTGGCATTTGAAAGCCAGATTCAGAGGAAGAAAGGGAAATTCTGTATCAATGAGGAGGGTGAGGACATTCTGGAAGAGAGAGGGGTGCCTTGGAGGTCAGCGGGAGCTAGTTCATGGAAGACTCTGAAAACCAGGTCAAGGAGCCAGGGAGAAATAGGCAGGCAGGTACTGGAGCAGGGCGCGCTGGGGTGCGCAGGGGTCCAGGACAGATGGTCCAGAAGGTAACGTCATCCAGCAAGAAAGCCAACAGGTGGGGACTGGCTGGCGGGGGCAAAGTGGGGCGGACTTGAAAGCCACTACTGAGGTCAAAGTCAAATGCCTCAGTGGAGGCCTGGACAGGAGGGTTGGGAGAGGGAGGTGAGAAGGGGGTACTCTCTGGGCTGCAAAGAGGAGACACCCCACCAAGGACCTGAACACCACCATACATATAGACACACAGAACATGTGCATTCCCATCCGGGGATACCCAGGGCCATATTTGGCTCGCAAAAGTTTTGCTTTGTTTTGTTTCTGGTCTTTTCATTTGTTTTTGGTGCATTTGTTGCCAATACACAAAAAAGCAAAAGGTTGACATTTTAAACTTTGGATTACTGGCTTCTCTTGCAAAATGGAAGAATCTGGGCATCTCAGGTCTCCATCCCCTCCCAACTCTCTGCTTGACTTGGTAATGGGGTCCGACAGCAAGTGTCTCTCCCACAGCTTCCACCTCAGTCCCCTTCCTTGGCTGTCATGTGTCCTTCCTGATCCCACAGGAGAATCATGCTCTTCTGTTTACAAGCTGATAACCTGAGGGTACATGCACCCAGGGGGCCGGGCACACAATCCCCACATGGCACAGAGACCCCCAATGCAAAGCAGCTCCAATGTATCTACACACACTCATAAACACTTTCTCTGCATTCGTAGGCTATGTTTATTCTCTGATGCCCTACGGTTCTGCATGTGTGGAGTGTGTTTTTGAATATGAGCAAATGAATGAAATAAGAATGAATGAAATGAACAGATGGATGAATAAAACTCCAAGGGTCCAGCACAAAAAGGACATTTTTCAATCTCTCTGACCTTCCTTCCAATATGGACTTACCACAGACATCTCCCTTTAGCACATACAGGGCCTTTCATCTGAGTACAAATCCTCTTTCTACTCACAACCCATTCTATACTACATTCCTCTTTCTAGAGTTCCAATATTTATAAACGCTTACTGAGCCTCCACTACCTGTTGGGCCCTGTACCGGGCACTTCACTTACAAGTATCACCCATAACCGTCTCCAGCCCTGGATCAGGAATCACTATCTCCAACTTATAAAACAAGGCCCAGATTTCATCCCATGTACGTGAGGGATCAGGAATTGAATGCAGGTTTCCTAAGAATTATCATTCCCCATAAACCTTCAAAGCCACTCACTCCTAGGCAGGTGGTGACACTCTCCACTACTATCCTGGCTCTTCCAGCAGGAACACAGACCCTCCACTTGGTCCAACCGTCTAACAGCCACCATGAGCATCCAGAGGACAGTGATATGTCTGAATTTCACCTGGGTCCCCAGATGCCCACCCAGTCACTTCCCAGGGAATAGATAGAGAGGACAGAAGTGCTGGTTGGCTTGTTACTTAACACCAAAAGCCATAAATGGCCCCCAGAAGGTGCTACTTGGTCTTCAAATGTGGTACCCACTCACCAGGCCATCAGCACCTTTAACAGAACTGTGTCCCAAATGGACACATGATGACTCCATGTCCCAGAGGAAATCTGAAGCACCCAAATTCTTGGTAAGGGACTCTCCTTCACCCACCAGGAAACCCAAAACTTATTCCTTAGGATGCCCAGTGTGGGGGCAGAGAAGAAAGACCCACCCCCAGCATCAGAATGTTACTGTTTCTCAATCGAGGGTTCAGAAGCCCACAAGGCCATGCGCAATGACCCAAACATAAGCACAGACACAAATATTGTACCCACCGATTGTACCCCAGCACCACGCCAGTTACTCCAATTTCATCTGAAGTTGGACAGGTCCTGAAAGACACACCCCAGTTCCATATTCAATTCCCTGGGGGTGGTTCCCACAGCAGTCCCCACAGACCCAGTAAGAGCAGTGTGACCCATAGATCCATAGGTCACTCTGGTACCCCGGAGGGGGAAGAACTGGTATTAGAAAGATAGAAAAGACCGAAAAGAAATGGAGAGTAGGGCTGCTGAGATTCAAGCCTGATCCGCCAAGACCTGCCTGGGCCCAGCACCCCATCCATGGCGCACACTGACACCCAGGGAGACGGACGCACAGCGGGGATGGGTGAAGCTCCACAACACCCAATCGATAGTCACACGCATGAGTTGTACACAAAGCCTCGGGGCGCGCAGACACGCACACGCAGTCCACGCTGCTATACCCAAAGTTCCGCGCAGGAAGCCCGGCAGCTGGGCGACCACCGCGCCCGCGCGCCCGCCACCCGCAGCTCACACCCCC